TTAGAGAAGCCTTTCTTAATCCCCTATGTAAAATATTAAAACCATTCTCCCTGAACTTTCTTTCCCCCTTACACAGCTTTTTCTCCACTGAAGTTAGCACCCCAACATCCCATATATTTACTTTTTGTGTGTCTGACGACCTGCACTAGAATTTAAGCTCCCGGAGCGCAGGGGTTTTGTCTGCTTTAGCTCCTGTGTACTCCCAGAGCTTATAACAGTGCCTGGCACACAGTAGGCGCTCAACACATTTTTGTTAAAGGAACAAACAAATACCCTAAGCTTAAGGGCAGGGCCTTTCTTTATTCTTTTACTCTCTGACAGCCTGAGAGAAAGCTTTGTTTTGCCTTGAGTGGACATTTCATAAACATTTGTTCATGTGTACAGTTGAATCACTTTTGACAAATGGCAGTGTTCAACGGGTACCTAAAGATCAACTGACTACGTTTTTATTGCTTAGCAAATAAATCCAATATCGTGTTTAATTATAATGAAGCAATACATTGCTTGGTCAATTTGGTGGACACAAGAGCAAAACTGGTGGTCTGATTTCATTAGCCAGTGAAATCTATTACCACATTTATCAATTAGCTCCAAATAACCACAGCCTTTGTTGATGCAAAAGGTCAAACACTGATGAGGTATGCCAGGATCAGTACTCTGATTTAACAGATGAAGTACAGAAAAACAATCAAAGTGTCTCAGGGCTGAAATTTCTCCCATTAATCTAGGTCCTTTGAGAAAATGCATTACTGGGACTAAGCCACCAGGATATTCATCCCACTAATGGTCTGAAAAGGTTCTTATATTTCCCCTCAAATGAACAATAAAAAATTTGCTTCAATCCTGGAAAAGGTAAATTCAAAATGAGTTCAACTGCTTCCCCCAAACACTAAAGACACAGTTGAAACTTAAAATGTGAGACTATAGTCTTCAAGTCTTACAAACTGTCTCATATGCTCCAGGGCTTCTTAAGAAAACTATTGTAAGGATTTTATGATAAGTTCACGGTAAGTATTGGGTTGTCGGAAAAGTCATGATGCATTTTTGCAACGAAAAACATAGAAAAAATACATCATGACTTTTCCAACAACCCAATATATTAATTACACATGATATTAAGGTATTGCTAATGCCAAGAAAATTATGTGATTTGAAAGAAAAGCACAATCAGATTTAGTTTAATATAAATGGATTGGTCTTCAGAGGGTTGGCTTTACAAGCTAGAACTCCAATTTCTGTGAAAATTCCCTATTCCTGAGGAAACGTCTTAAGGATAATTTCAGCTCAAGCCTATGCTACAGAGAAAACACGAATCAGCTGATAGCATGTATGCAAAGAATAATCTCTTATATTGACCTAGCATGTTTCAAAGGACTTTTGCATTTTCATTTCCATCTGACTTGAGTTTCACCAACAGGGAAGCCATGTCAATGATGCCCTATTGTACATATTGACAAATGGGTTCAGTGCATTCAGCAACCTGCCCACGTGCCCAGGACAGCATGAAGCAGAGCCAGGTCTTGCTACCCAGGTCTTGTGAAAACCATGCCCAGCATTCTTTCCAGTTGAAAGAATATATGCTGTCTCTCAAACTTATTTTAAAGTGAGTGATCTTTTTCTATTCTTTTATAGCATTACATTTTAAATGGAATTACACTTTGGGGACACGTAAGTCTAAATGATGTAGTATATCAAGTGTTTGTTTGTTTGTTTTTACCCTGGAGCCCAA